AATAATAATAATAATAATAATAATAATAATAATACTTCTCCAACAGTTTGTTAGCTGCGACCAAGTACGAAAATGACATAATTCTCTCCTTCTCCATCTCTCCCTCTCTATCTCCCTATCTCTCCATCCTTCCTTCTCTTTCTCTCCCTCTATCTCTCCCTCCCTCCTTCCCAATCTCCCTTAATATCCCCAATTCCTCAGCTGTTTGAGAGATGCGACAAGACTCTCTCTCTCTCTCAACTGGCCCAGCTGTTTGTGAGCAGCTATACGATACAACACCTCTCTCACTTTCTGTCCTTCTCTCTGTCCTTCTCTCTCTCTGTCTGTCTGTCTGTCTCTCCCTCCCCCCCCCCACTCTCTCACCTTCCCCAGCTGTTTATGAGCAGCTAAGCTATATGATACAACAACACCTCTCCCCCGCTCTCTCTCTCCCTCTCCCTTCCGCCTCACCTTGCCCAGCTGTTTATGAGCCGCTATATGGTATAACAGCACCACTGCGTCCAGTAGGTCCTGTAGAGAGTTTCCGCTGGGCATCTCCAGACGAGGGTAGTCTTCCCCGACACTCGCGGCTGGGAATACACCACATGCACTGGCATAAAATATCATGAATACACCACACACAAACAGACAAAAATTATCATGAATACACCACACACAAACAGACAAAGATTATCATGAATACACCACACACAAACAGACAAAAATTATCATGAATACACCACACACAAATAGACAAAAATTATCATGAAATATTGTAAATTAATAGAGTACAGATATTGTAATAAATGATGATGAATAATAATCATAGAGTCAAGACATTATAATAGATGATAATAAACAATAAATAAATAGAGTGCAGACATTCTAATAAATTATAATAAACTATAAAAAAAATAGAATACAGACAAAGTAATAAATGATAATAAATAACACACAAATGGTATTTGTAGGCCTATAGTTTCCCTTTTTTTCTTTCTTTACTTTTACTCTCTCACTCTCTTTACCTCTGAGTCTATTCATCTATCTGTAAGACAAAATACTCCTCCCATCCCATTTCCCCGTTAGAACATCTATATATCTACCCATAGGAGTACATCGTGGCATTAAACTATTTTGCCATACAGTGCGTTCACAATTTTATTTTTAAGCATACTGAGACAACCAAAATAACATAAAACACTAGAATCAAGATTTGCCTAACAAAAGTACAGAGAAATTCTTTAAAAAAACAACAACCCAACCCCCCTCCCCCAACCCGAACCCACCCGCCCACTCAACGGACGAAGGGGAATAACTGAACAAATGGGGCCGCTATTTTGACCAAGGTACATAACTCATACGGCTTAGAGTGCCAAGGGACACAACTCATTAAAAAGTATTCCAACCACCCAAAGGCGAGCCCTGGTGGAACACAAGGATCGCATCGGTATTTTATCTACCGCAGAAAATATCTTTCAACGATCTGGAAGAGGCTTTTCAATAGACGATTAAAAACCGGCGAAACTAAAGTTTTGCCACGTTCTAGAAAAACTTATATTTTCACCTCCCCGCAACCATTTCAAAAACTACTGTGGGAACAAGGGGGTATAAAACTGTGCCAGCTGCATGAGCAACCCGACGTAGTGGTAAGGCTTACATTTAGGGGCCACCCACGAGTACTTGTTACTCTCTCTCGCCCCTGGGAAGGTCTGAGACAAAGGTCGCTAAAATCATCTAGCAGGTGATCCCTATAACTTCGTGGGGAGTGGCTCACTAGACACACGAGGCGTGGGCGGGGCCCACATTTGGCACGTGACACCTATACACCTGAGGTCAGGGGGTGGATGCCGCGCGCCCCGCTTCACTTGGAAGAGTCCACGACCGGCACAGCTAAGTTCGATGTGTGAGGTGGCGCAACTGCGCCATAACCCAATTCAGACTATTCTACCACTATGTCAACCTTTTTTTTGTTTGCCATAACCCAATTCAGACTATTCTACCACTATGTCAACCTTTTTTTTTGTTTGCCATAACCCAATTCAGACTATTCTACCACTATGTCAACCTTTTTTT